TACGACCGGCGTCAGACCCAACTGTAGTTCTTTTGAAAACCAGTAGAGTTCATTAATAAGCTATATGAAACCAAAGGATCATCGTCGGTCAGTCGTTGTGAGTGACTCTCACCGTCTGCATTCGCTATGTTCTCGTCTTGAAATCAAACTTGTAATTAAGATCTCGCTTGATGAAGATTAAGGAGAAGATAAGTAGATATGAAAAGAGCGATTTAATTCATTGAATAAATTGCACCGAATGCCAGCTGTCTTGCATTGAATAAGAATGACAAAGCATAAGATAGCGGGGACCATCACAGATCCAGTAAAACTGAAGAAAAACTATGCTAGAAAAGACTCGGCAGCGGCTTTTCATCAAATTCCCATTGGACCAGCATGGATTTTAACCGATCCAACAATGGTAACGGTAGTTGACAGCTGCTAAGAAAATCTAGTTGCTAAAGTGCTGATAATCCAGACGAGACTTAAGGTCATGAACAGAGGTGAGAACTTTTGTATCTCTCCTTCGTGGCGAAACTTATGTAAACTTCTAACAGAGAGAAAAAGCGACTCTGGTTACGTCTTAACAATCTTGTATGAAGTACGGCTGTATATTACTTGTAGTTGATAAAGACTGGCAGTATTTAGGCAAAACCTTGGGCTTGTGCCAAAAAGTTATACATCTTGTGTATTATTAATGAAGTATTGATGCCTTGTCTGATATAGCAACATTTACAGTGGGAAGATACTTCGAGCCATTAAATTCAGACGACTGAACACACCCTAGCGATCATAAGTAAACACGGGAGCACTTTACTTTCATTGCTTGTGCTTTAGAACGTAATCACAAATTCGTTTATAGCCATATATCTTTGATTTGTTCATGGCCATGAATTTGTCACTTTTATGGCCAGAATCATCCCATTTCGTAGCGAATAACATCAAGCTGTTTTGATAGCAACGTTCCAGTTAATACTCTTTGGCTTTAACGCATGAAACCTACTGTGGAAACGCTACTAATGCGGTATTCTAATTAACGTACACTTATTACAACTGATTGTTTTCTTTAGTTTATTGAAAGAAAATTGAAGTATCAACGGTACTGAATATATGTTGATTACTGATGTGCACACCTGAATGAACTCCTCAGAATTAGTCGTCGATTATTAAAATCAGTTGATTTCAAATTATTTCATTACTGTTTTTCTTTTAGCATCATGCTATGCTGATTTTGCCTGTGAAACGGTATCTTTAATATCAGTTTGTTTCGACAGTTCCTGAGCGTTTTGTCATTTATTGAATATAGCAGATTTTATGTACAAGTCGAGTGATGATATTTTGCATAGTTTGGTCATGGAATTGTGAAGTACTGGATTCGGTTAGTGAGAGTCAGAAGGCGTTTTACCACATGGTGCATGACTGCATCCGGTTTAATGGTCGACCGTAGTGACTTGCTGACAAGTTTTAAAGTTTGTTAATTAAAGTTGTCAATAAGATGTGGTTGAAATTTTATCCCAATGTATAACTATGCATGCTAGTTATAATGTGGAAAATTTTAATTGCAGCAAAATGATATGTTCTCCATAACTTCAGACTGTTTTAATAATTTATGATTTTATTGAAACGCTGTTTTGCTTAAGGATTGGATCATCGCGCCAGACGGATATGCGGCCTACTACTGTTTCGGTGAATGTTCGTTTCCGCTGAACGCGCACATGAACGCGACGAACCACGCGATCGTGCAGACTTTGGCTCATCTGATGAACCCGGACAGGGTGCCGAAGCCGTACTGCGCACCGACGAAGCTGTCGTCGATCTCCGTGCTCTACTTCGACGACAGCTCGAACGTGGTTCTGAAGAAGTACAACAATATGGTCGTTAAGTCGTGTGGTTGCCACTGACCTTACCTCCCCCCTCACCCCCATCCCACCCGGTCGTGTACGTTTTACTGTCCAAACGTAAAGGCCCCACTCACGCAAAGAGGGACATACGCGGGACAAACTTTTATATTATTTACCAGCTG